ACATCTCCTATTAAATATCAAAAAGTGCTAGTTACTGATTTTTATTTGCATAAGAATAGTTTTCAATGATATTAAAGCAAGATAAAAAAAACCCCTCAAAACAGAACAAAACTCCTTCTGAAACTGTTAATGTATATACCAGATTTGGATATGTCCATATTCTGATCTCTGGCAAATGTATTTTATAGTAATTACTTAGCTATAACATTAAAAAGAACATTATTTATATATACATTTCATATCCCCATGCCAATGTCTGACCTTTACTGTGGATGATCTTACCCAACAACAATTGGCTTGAAAATATTTTGAACAGATACCAAAAAATCAGATCTGAAAAAGGTACAAGACCTTCAGCTGGATTATTTTTCTGCATGCTGACAGCAATTAATCTGCTTAACCATATTACTATATTGCGTTAATTTAGGCCTTTTAAATAAGGTTTCTGCCCACGTGTTTATAAATGGTGGGTTTGTAACTTGTTTCACATTCGTCCACTTATTAAAAAAAAAAAGTTTTTAAAAATTCAGCACAAAGGACTTCAAACTGTCACTAGGGTCTGTCAACACAGAATTTATAGTTTATCTCAGCCCAAGCAGTTGTATGCACAAATAGTTCCTCCTCCTGCCTCGAGTGCTATTGGATACATTGCTTTTCATATTCCACCTTAGCCAGTAAGTCTATAGGGAACAAAGAACAAATATATTACCTATCACAGGTGACAGGGATGCTAAGCAGCAAACCTCCGATTAGGTTATTGGCTAAAGGAAGGGAATAAAGAGCAGATGCAGCTACACAGAGGCAGCCAGTATTTAGGGACTCATCTTCTTTGCATTGTTTGCACAGGTTTTATGTTTTACTAGGAATTATAGCGCCCGGTACATGCTTTACTTCATATTCTCAACTGGAATCTGCAGCAGTTACAAAATAAAAATCACCAGTCTACAAAGAGGCCTGAGGTTTCTGCATATTTAACTCCTCCACCCTTTAGCAGCCACAGCTTGTGTACACTGGATACCTCTGTAATCCTGCACACAGGAATCACAAAAAGGCTTCAAAGTCTATACCAACAGTAAAACAGACAAACGCAAACTCCTTGTTTTTAACAGTTACCCAGTTCGTTAAATTTTTTTTATTTTTTTTCGTATGCTACTGACTAAAACAACAGAAAGTGTGAAGCATGCTATTGTGACCAGAACTCAAATTCAGAAAGTTTTTCACAAATCCGTTTGTCTGCTCCAGAATGAGAACACAAACTTGCCTTCCACGAACCATTTAAATAATCTCCCCTTTGAAAAGGGCTGTCCTTCAGCTGCATCACGTAATATAACTACAACTTGCAAAAATGAAAAGTAGAAATGTTTATTTCTAACCGAGAACAAGTTCGTAAGCATCGACAGAAAACAAATTACGTTGAACGTGGCAATGCCTTGTAGTAATTTAGCACAAAGCTTCTCAAATCAAAATTTAAAAATTCTCTCACTCCAATTGCGGATAACCTCTACAAATTATCTTGGCAGCATAAAGAGCAAGTATTCAGACAGAAAACTCCGTTTAGTCTTGGAAGTATTAGGAGTTCAATTTGTTAGAATTGTCCTTATTTAACTATATAATACATTGGAAATGTATTGAAATGTATTAATTTGCAGTCTCCAAACTGGCACAAAACCTAACTAATTTCCACTTTAAAATGCGGATCATGGAAAAAAGTAATCATGATATTTCCCAGAACAGTATCTGCCCAGAATTAATTTAATACTGCAATTTTACAAGAACAAACAGATGTCAGAAACCTGTGACACAGATTAATTTGCAATTTAGGCCAACATGTTATCATTAACTTTCCAAGTTAACAACTCCCCTGCCCAACTCACAATAAAAATCCAATAGCCAGAATTTTGCACAAGTTCAGTTTAATTTTTATTTCATTTCTGAAGATTCCCTATAGTCTCCTAACCCCACATCAATATAATTGAATGTAACTTATATTTTTTAAAGTGAGAAATTAAATCTTAATCTGTAAACAGTTGAAGATGTAGATAAAGCATAATAAAAAAAAAAAAAAGAAACACGCATTTTCAAGTACCATCCAAAATCCAACTATTGAATTAATATACAAAAAATTGTGGAAGCAGACATGGGTACTACGGCTTCGGCTTCTCAGAGAATTTTCTGCCAGATTGTTTCCCCATTAAACAGCAGGATTTCTTTGAAATAACAATTCATCCATATATCATTTACTATTAAACATGCGTTCTAAACAATTAAAGATAAATAACAGAGAACTGAAGCAACAGTAGTTTAGTAAAAGCACAGTTCAGAGCTCACTGTATTCTGCATTTAATCTATTGCAAAATATTTGTGACAGTTTTGAAAGGGTAGTGGAGTTGGGGTTTTGGTGTGGTGGGGTGTTGGGGTTTTTTTTGAGACACTTGGAAAAAATATCCATTCCTTAAAATTCATGACGCTAATAATAACAACAAAATACACAACTCTCCCTGGAGAGACAGTTGCACCCAACTGTGGCAAGCAGTAGAACATTTATAGAATTTTAAATATTTCTTTTAATAATTGATGTAGTCATTTTGAATCTTTCTGCATAGGATATAACGTGTGAGTAGATTGCATTAACACTGCTTAAACATTTCAACTTGTCAGTATGGCCAAGTCGATTTCTGAAATATTTGCAGTATTTTCCCATCGAAACAGTAATAAAGGTAGAATAAATATATGCCACTGCTTTATAATCACTGAACATTAATGAATATTTTATGTCTTTTTAAATCTCCCTGTTTAATTTAAAAGGGTGAAATTAAGTCTCCTCCCTGCAATATGCCAATTATCTGTAAATCAAACAATAACTTGGCCATTATACTCCTTTTTGTTAATATACCAGAAGCTAATTTGAAAACCCTGAACGGCATTTTTAGGTAATAATTGAATAGTCCTTCCTGCCCTCTTGTGGTTGGCAACTGCAACTCGCATAGAGCTTTTCCACGATTACAAAAATATACCAGAAGGAAAGTAAACTATTAATTTGTTAAAGTGTGAACAAGAAGAGTGAAGAAAAAAAAAAAAAAAAATCTAACAGTCCCTTGAGAGGAGAGAGACATGGGAGAGAAGAGACAAAAGATACCACCAATTCCTCCAATTGCACAGACTAACTAGATTCATCAATCATTTGTTACAATGTTCACTCTATGCTAAAAGAAGAAAAAAAAATTAAATTAAAAAGTCATTAGGGAGTTAACATACAAAAGAGTGGTTGTTTTCTATAATTAGACAAATGTTCACCAACCCTTTTACCTCAGCCAAATCCCCAGTGACTCCCTCGAGACTGTGCACAGACAGAATATTCACCTGTTCAGCATCAGCTGCACAAGAAGGTCCTGAGTTCTCTTTTCATTTTAGAAAAGAGACTGTCTTCCAAATTTTAAACACTATATTGGATGTAATACTTAGATACATGACAGGAAGGCAAAGAAATGTTTGATGCTCATGCTGATTATGGGGCAGTAGGTTTTTTTATTTTTATTGTTTAAACAGTGAAAATCATAAGTGACTTTTAAGTTGACTTTATATGTTAACATGTTGACTGTAACCTGCCATTACCAACAAACAGGAAAACTTCAGTGCACGTAAAGGCAGCTGAGATTCCCATGCACTGTCACAGCTTTCTGGTTCCTTTAAGCCAGGTAAGACTCACCAGCAAAGTAATAAGTGATATAGCATAGATTTAAAAAAAAAAATAAAAAATAATCAAACAGACAATATGAACGTATGTGTTTTCTTTTAGAATCTCGCCATTTAAAAATTAAAAACAAATAGTCTGATCATTTATTTCCATAAATATTTGAATCATTTTTAATTGTAAAGAGTGAGAGCTTCGCCCCTCCAAAACTGATGCAACTCTATTTGTTTATATTATTAAAAAAAAAAAACCCAATACTTACTATAATTGGTTTAAAAAAGTAAAGTAGAAAGCAAACTTTCACTCAATGGAAAGATCAGAATTTAGATCTTAAGAATAACAGGATTCACAATGAAAACAGATAATGATCACTTTTCATTGTTGTAGGAAATACTTCTCCTATAGCTAATATTACAGAACTTAAAATAATTTGTTCTACAATGTCAGCATGTGACATGAAAAAACTTCAATAAAATCTGTTTAACCCTAAAAGACTGAGAGAAGCGTCAGACCAATAGCAAACATACATTTAATTTGAAAAGCAAACATTTAATCTTAATATTTTGTCATGTGGATTCTGAGGATTCACATCTGTAGATTGTTTATGAAGTTTCCAGAAGTTAGTGGGTTATATGGAAAACAACATCCAAAACAGCTGGCATTAGGAACACCATGGAGCATCAGACAAAAGCCTTTGGCTTTAGAAAGGAGTTTTTAAAATACGCAAGGACTGCTTGTACTAATTTCAGAGGGTGCAGAGTCACGTTAGAGATAGTTGTTACTACAGGACTGAATTCTGAGGAAGCTCTCTCCAACATCACCCCTTGCTGGCCGTCGCACAGAACGGCAGTGACGCCCATCACACACACAACTGTTTGGCTCCCAGGGCAGTAAGAATTACAGCGCTACGACAGCCACCAGTAATGGTAGAGGTGCCTACAAAATGGAGATGGAGCTGGTTGAAAGGAAGGATGATGGAGGGACTTCAAGGGGCTTAAAGACAAAATGTCATTTGAATAACTGCCTTTCCTCATCACTCTTGAATAAATCAGTAAACACTTTTCGTATATTTTGCTACTACAATGGAAAAAAACCCCACATCTTTTCTGTATAATTTAATAGAAAACCCTTTTTTTCCACAACTTTTTTAATCAAATTACAGAGATTTTGATGATCTGGTTGATTAAACTAAAAAAACAGACGAATAAAATAAAGGAATATCCATCAAGACCATGTAAACCTTCTTTAACAGAGCTGGCATTAGCTATAATGAGCTACATTTATTCCTCAGCTGTGAAACAGCACTCACCTCCTGAATGGTACTGCTTCCTGAGAAGTTGAGGTTGTACTCCCGCTGGACTTCTCGATGGGTGACGATCAGCATGAAGTTTTGATTTAATGACTCCTGCAGGGCCCTGAAATGGTTGAAAGAAAAACAAGAAAATCAGGGATAAGCATGTTATAGCTTGTTTTACAGTTAGATGCAAAAACCCCAGGGTACCCTAAACTCTACATGGACAAGTCCAGGCACAACATTATCATCTCTCTTTTCACTCTTAAATGCAAGGAAGCATGCTGAGAATGACCAAAGGCCATTCCTGAACTCCTTCCTTAATAAGGTGGCTGCAGCCTTTAAAGCTCTTCTAAATGTTAAGTATTCTCAAAATGGAGAGAGTCACATTATCTTCACAAACATCAGGTATATTTAGCACTCATAATGCCATTAATACCAGGCTTGTAAGCGTATTGATAACCAGACAAAATATCAAGCTACAATGCACATTAAAAACGGATGGTAAGTAGAACAAGGCAACACATGCTCTCGCTTCTCTTGGGTTACCTGAAGCATAAACCAAACGGAAATTCTTCCGCTTAGTTTCACTCAAAGCACATAAACCCGGCTAATTAGAACTGGAAAACTAACCACAGCAAAATATCTCATGTGGGGATTGAGCGTTCAGAAAAGTTAGTTCTGCTCAAATTGTTTTAAATGTATGTTAAAACACCTTTAATCATATGAATTACAAAGAAAATAATCTTAAGATACAGATTAAACAGGCCAACTATACATTCATGTTGCCACAAACTTGGTTTTTTGTGATTTTCCTGGTAACAAAGCATCTGGATGTTAAAAAGGCATCCTGTTTGCTTAACTAGGTACAAAATTATGCAGCTATCTACTTTTCAAAACAGAAGGCAGGACTTCTGCTACAGACACAGCAATTACAGCTGTGCACAATCTCATCTAGGCTACAAAACTGCAGCAACGTTGTAACATAACTTGGACTGCTAAACAATATTTATGCAGATTTGACCTGTTCAGGGGCATATAATATTGGGCTTATTTGATTCCTTTTTTTCTTATCACACGCTCTTAAAAGAATGCCAGACTGGGGTTTTTTCCTTCACATCTTCACTGTTCCATGACGTTCCATTGCAACGTGCCATTCCTCTCAAGAATAAAGGACAAATAGTATATGCAGATGAGTACAGCTGTATCTTAAGATACAAGAAGGCAAGAAGGACTGCAAGATTATTTGAGTCCTGATTTGTTAGTTTTAACTTCTACTGGAATTACTGAGCAGCAGTTTTGCTGCTCGGATGGTAGTGAACCCATGCAATACTCACTGGATGCTTTAGCAAGAGATGCACAGTTTGCTTTAGCATCTCGAGAAAAGTTACCTTACAAAAATATCTTCACTCAGCAACTTAATTTGGATTCTGTGACATCTTAAACATAATAATCACATACTACAAAACAAAATCATGAAGTGCTATTTCTCGTCTTTTATGGCTTTATAATATGGAAGATAAATATTGTCAATGCTAAGTGTGACCTAGTGTATGAGAGACACTACAGCTGTAACTGAAGTCAGTCATCTAACAAAGTTAGCTGCACTTGTCACAAAATCTTGTAAGGAAAGAGCCCAAAAAATTTAAAATACTTAACAGTCCTTCAGAAGAGATGGAAAGAAAAAAAAAAAAAAAGTCCTGAAAAGCTGTATGCCTATTTTCAAAGGTAATTCTAATTTGATTGTTAACAATAAGTTTTGCATCTCCGCAGCCATATTGTCTTTTGGCAAATGTTCAGTAGCAACTAAAATATCCTGCTGTGCTTTTTCAGATTCTGATTTTTTTTATTTGTTTTCAGCAAATACTGGAGGCGAATGACATACTTAATTGCTCTGAAAACATTAATTGCAGCATATGTGAATGGCTCTGGATTCCACACACAATCACACAAGGCTCCATTATAGCTATTTTTGACTCTTATCTGAAAATCTGTAAATGCTAACCAATAACATGATTCACATTTTCATTCTGTAATTGATGTAAACATAGAATGAACCAGGCTAGGTCGATCAAATCCTCAGTCTCTCAAGGTATGCGTGATAGACACACTTCAACACTATCCAAAATAGAGCATGCCAATTAAAAGCAGCTGTTCATGGGAAAGGTTTCCCACTTCTCTATTTCATCTGGGTGTGACAGCAGCGAGTATTTGGAAAAGGAAAAGAATACTCTTCAAACACAGTTAATTTAAATTAAGTGCCTTAAAATTAAAAGCCTCAAATTTTGAGGTAACTAACAATTTTGACACCTCTACTTTTCGGATTTCCAAACAACACAAGCTGAATGTTGTTAACAAGCAAGTTCTCTGTACATATTCATAGCCAAATAGAGTCAAAGAGGAGACTGAAAATTAGGCTGGTTAAAAAAAAAATATTGAAAAAAATTAGGAAAAAAAAAGGTTTTGAAAGTATTCACTGTTAAAGTGCAAGGTTGATAATTCACCTTCAGAAAAATAATATAATGAGGAATATTACTTTTGGTTACACAAAAATACAGTGGTCAACTGATCGGATCCTGTGAACTCCTACATCAAAATTTCATATGGTCTGACAGCCATATGACCTGGACCATATGTACGTTCCAAGGCCAATGGGAAGAGGAACTGATGGTTCATCTGATGGGCTGTTTGTGCCAAGGACTTCCTACGGGTATCAACGCTCCTCCGTGGCACAGGGGGCGATTTGACCACGCAGCTGGACAGCCAGCGATGTCAGCCCCCTCCCATATTCATTTCCTCCAGCAACTAGGGATGTAGACTACCCCAAATTATTTGTGCCAATAGAACTCAGCTTCCAAAACATACCTTGCCTTACCATTACCTTTTCCACCATTAAGGTTATGATCAAATGTACAAAATAAGTGTATTTAAAGGAGACTTCCCATTGACAGTAAGCTGAAGCTTACTTTTCTTTCTTTTTAGGTGCACATTAACTGCAGTGAGAAGACTGACTTTGAACGCAATGCACATGGCTACAATTTTGGTTTCAGTGTTTGCAGCAGTTTAATTTTCCTGCACATGTTATCAGTTGACTACAATCTTCGAAATGAAACATTTGCATTAAAAGAAAAATTTTTAAAAAGGGGAAAAAATAAATCAGGGCCAAACCCCAGATCCTATTAAAGTCAAGACAGGTTTTCTTTTTGCCTTCTTTTTTCCATCAGTGCTAACAGAATTTAATTAATCTGAGAATTAATTAGTGGGAAAAGAAAACCAAATTCTAGAAACAGGACTAAACTAGGCCACTCTTATCAGCACCATTTCCCCCCTACTGCAAACCCTGGCTTTCAAAAGGATTTGCTGATAGGTTTCATACTGCCATGACATTATTTTTTTTTCCTCAGCTGAATGATTATACATTCGCTATTCAGCACAGGAGGCAAGGGAACTCGATGGGATTTTTTGGGCACCAATCTTCCATTAGAGGAACTCTGCCTACACCCAAAAAGAGAAGTCTAAGAATAGACAAAAGAAAATAGACCTGAGCACAGTCATCGCTCTGACCAGCTCTAGCAAGAGAGACCAGCTCAGGATTTCATATGGATTGCCTATATAGTATCAGTTATCAGCACTATCACAATGCACAGAAACCTCAGCCATGGAACCAGGATTCAGTTGGGGTTGAAACTCTACAATATGCAAACAAAAATGTTTCTCTTTGAAACTTAAATTTCAAGCAATGGAAGTTGCGAGAATTTTTTTTCCCACTAAACTCAAAATATAAAACTCAATTAAGAGTCTGGAAAGAGTTTATTCACTAGCTACTCCATCCAAATTCCAATACAGTACAATTTATAAACCAGAAGTCTAATAAACTAAGACTAGAAAATATCTAGCCAAAAAATGTGTAAGTGCAAATAATGCTAATCTTAGGGGAAAGCAACTGTTCAATGAATCTATGCAACACTGAAGAAGGTGGTATTAGTATTTTATAACAATAATTTTCATCTATATCATATAAAAATATAATAAATCGATATTTATTATATTTTAAGCTTCCAGTTTTACTGCTTTTCTATTGTTCTGTAACAATATATAAAACAGATTGAGTTTATCTATTGTTAAGTGACTGCCTTAATGCTTTGTTTTTTGATGTAATACTTTGATTAAGGATATACTTCTGGTTTCAAACCTTTAAATATTACTAAAATTTCAAAGAAAAAAAGCTATTAAAAGCAATGATCAGCAAACACTCCCTTTCATTTCAGTTCTGTAAGTTTTTACAAAATACATTCAGTATTTCCTATTAGGCAATATCTTTCTTAGTGACATGGAGATTTCCCCCAAAATCTCTGAATTTTATATAAATAGGTATGACACAAGGTAATTAACATTTCCATTTTAAACTTACAGATTTATACAAGCTCATGTCAACAGAAGTCCAAATTTACTGTAATTACAGATTATTTACATTAAAACAAAATAAGAAATCAGTATGTAAATGTAATGTTTGTTGTAGCTAATGCAGCAGGAGGTGGTAGATTAGGTTCAAACAGCAATCAGTTAGCAAATCTGGCTAACATGTAAATGAGCAGAAGCCCTTTTGTTTACATTCTATTGCATTTTAAACTTCAGGATTTTTAAACTGTCTCATGAGCAGATGTGAAAATAAAACATTAATCTTACCATTCTTATTGAAGCTTTCAAAGTAACTAAAGCAAGGCACTGCTCCTGTCCAGCTAAACAGACAATACTAATAATTGGAGTTGCAGGTTACATCGTTCTTAATTAACACTCTGCTACAGTTGATAGCGTACAACAGGACACCATGCCACAGTCACCACTCCTCTGCAACAATCACACAGCAATGTATGGATTCATCACCCAAAAGATGGGGGGGGATTTATTCCTATAGACACAGCTGATTACATCTCTTAAAAAAATTACAATCACTTAGCAAAAATACATTATTTGTAGTAATCACAAAGGTGAACACCTGGTCAAATAGTTTTTAACTGTTTTGGACTTCCCAGTGATTCATCAGCTATAATAAAGTATCTAAGACTTTTGGCTATTTAGCAAAAAAGAATAAACATGAAATACATTAGATCCATTGAATTGACAACTGAAGAAAAAAAAAAAAGAGAGAAAAAGTGCCTCCTAGAACACACAAGATCAGAAGGAGAGACATCAGGATGACTGAGCTCCATGGCCAGACTCACACACCTACACTTTTGACACTCCATTGCATTCTCCAAAACCTTTTCTGTGAACTGGGTATTGCCAGATTTGTTGCCCCGAGGCAACAAAGGGAAGGAAAGTCACTCTGAGGAAGTGAAGAATCTAATCTGACCAAGCCAGTGCAAGGGATCTCTCCTCCCCTTGGACAATTAAATGATGGACATTCTCTGGCACCTTCCTTTTTAAGGCTGCTTTCCAAAGGAAGTCATGTTTTCCTCACACACCCGTCCCATCTGGTAACTTTTGAACATACTCAATAGATTCAAGGATGCCTAACAGCATTATTAAGGTCTCAGAGATTGGGTGTAGATCAACAGCTGGGTAGAGGAAAAGGACCCAAATTAGAACCCTCCTTAGTAAAAGGCTGCAGTAGAAGCATAGTATTTTTAAACTCCATCCAGCCAACTTCTAGCCAATGAATTACAGAACTACCTACAGCATGTGATGTCTCCTCTTCTTCAATGTTACCTGACTACCAGCTGGAGAACAGAGGAGAGGCAGGGTAAGCTGACTTGATTGCCCAGAGAAGCTGTGGATCCCCCATCCCTGGAGGTGTTCAAGACCAGACTGGATGGGGCTTTGAGCGACCTGGCCTAGTGGGAGTTGTCCCTGCCCAGGGCAGGGGGTTAGAACTAGATGATCTTTAAGGTCTCTTCTAACCATTCTATGATTCTATAACTCTATGCAGGGGAAAAAAGTCACACAGGTTCTACAAAATAAATGGGAAGAACTGGAGGCAGTGTCAGAGGTAGGGGAGATCATGGAAAGCACAGAGGGAGAAGGCTGAGTTACTGCAGCCACTGGGATGAGGCCGGAATTCACTAGAAATCAGGTTTCATTACATCCCCAGCTCATAGAACACATTGTTATTGTTCTGGATATCGTGCATGGAAAAGGAGGGCTTTGCCAGCTGAAATTGTGGAAGCAGGGCATGTAACCCTACAGGTGGTATTTGACATTTAAATTTAATCTTTACACCTCAATTTACTAGCATGTGGTAGTAATTCACTGGGTTTCTGTCACCCATAAAAGCTTTAGATATGCCACTGAGGAACGAAGATACCCTCGGAGATTTTTGCTTGTTTAAACTGCATGATCACTTTGCCATCACGTTTAGATGCCAGTTTTAAGTCAGTTCTGGGTTAAGCCCATTCAGTCTGTCACAATCAACTTCAATGCCTACATATCAGTATGTTGGAAAAGGATGTTTCTGACACCATTCTCCCCCAGTGTCAAAAACGGGCACAGATTGGAGTTTATAGAGCTGTGACCAGATTGCTCCTTTTAAGAAGGGCACACACATAAAATATCATGTACTGAAGTCTCAGGCTTTTCAAATATCACTTTCTGGAGATATTCAAATCACGACTATTTATCTGTAGTTCAAAATAGAAGGCATTTGAAGAAAGCAACGGATGAACTCACAAAGTAAGCGGCAAAGTTCCTCAACATCCATTAATAACAGATGTGAGCATCATGCTTTTAAAAATTGTGGGTAACAAACTAATCTGAATAATAACTGACCTAACAGTAGGCAGTAAACAGTGTAACTGGGTTTGGTACATTGCTTCAATTAGATGTGTTTTGATCTGCATTGATGCTCTAATTGGAGGCAAGCCTCCCCTTTCATCTAGAATTTATGACTTCAGGGAGATGATCTAGCCTTCAAATTATCCATGTTTAAGTAGCCACTAATTAATCATCATTTGCTATCCCAAAGCTACCAACATTATTTTAAAAATATCCAGAACTAATCTCCACTATGAAACAAGTCTAAACTGCAAAGGTAACAACCACTTTGACTTTACTAGCAAGTAAAGTTCTTTTAAACTATTCATCCAATAAAAAAGCCTAAGAACTGTTTTTACACAGTTTGTTGTTGTATAGTTTATTGCAGTTGCAATAAACGATTTTTCAGACCTCAGTTTTCTTTCCTTACAATACACGGAGACATCTGGATAGAAAATTTTGAAATTGGAAATGGATTGTTAAAAATCCCAAACAATTTGTATTTACAGTGGTTTTCCACAGTATTTTCTGTGTCCTTCAATTAGCTGCTTATTTACAATGGCCTATTGTCCTCACACACAACTACAGCTCCCGTAAGCACATACAGTTCACATCACAGCTCACCACCACTCCGCTCCCTCCGTTCCAGTCCCACTATTCCCCCTCTTAATGCTTCTTTCTTTATTATTATTATTTTTATAATTTATATCCGCATTCCTATTTCCTTCCAAGACTACACGGTTACGTGCACAAGTACCTTTTAGTAATTTATTAAGTACTTTTAGTCAATAGGAAACCAGTTAACTTATTTCCATGGATTGCCAAAAAATTTCCTCCATCAGTAATATGACTGCATTTGTAGAATATTCTATATCGGCCACAACAGCAGAAAAACAACTCCCTCTTCAGACAACTTGAAGGCACTCTAGTCTAACCATCCCGCAATGTGAGCAATTCCAAACACAACCCTCCCGCTCACTTGCTGCTCTTCCAGCCTCAGTTACTGCGCGCCCTCTAGTGGCTACCGAATAAAATTCATATTTTCCTGGTAAAGAACACATCGGGGTCTGCCTTTGAAGAAGGGAAGGGCAGGAAAGAAATCAAAGCAAAGTAATCAAAGTAATCGCAAATTACTTTATAACAGTAAAGATTCTATTTACCATAAAATAACATTTCCTTTTCAAACCTTACCAATATTCACTGACATACGAACACTCACCATTTAAATTTCTGAGTATTCAAACCAGTAATAAAAGCTACCCTGCTCTGTTGGAGAAACCTGTTTATTTTGCCTACCTATGTGCATTTTAAAAGTCTAAGACGACAAGATAAAGTAATGTTACAAACATTTCAGAAAGAAAATTCTGATCTGCTGACAATGACTTATAAAAGTTTACATTAAACGAACTAACGTAACACAGTAACTTATGAAAGGCCAGCTCTTAGTTCCACAGAGACTAATTTTTTGTTAAAGTCACTGCGTCTGGGAGGTGTAAAACTGTGTATGTACATAAGTGGTTCATGTACCACACCAAGGCTTTAAAAAAATTAACAACCTTCTTTTCAATAATGAGTTGCTGAATATCATCCCAACACTTACTAGAGCAGTGAAAAGACTTTGAGACAACCTTCTTTTCAATAATGAGTTGCTGAACTGCTTCATCCCAAAACTTACTAGAGCAGTGAAAAGACTTTGTATTTACTGACTGCAGATTCCTGCAAGGACACGAAGCTTCATAAAAACCATACAAAACCAAGTTGTACAAGTAGAACTTATGGCCAAAAGACTTACCCAGAATGACTTGAAGAAGGAGGAGGCAGGTCAGGTGTTAGAACATAAAGACTATTATTTTTTGGCAAGTGTAGAGTTTTTAAAACAGTCTGAGGGGAGAAAAATTATTATAAATATAAAACATTCACCAATTTTAACATATTATTTTATTTCTTTTAGTTATCGATACTTATTTACAATACTACCAAATATTTTGGTTTGAGATATACATACTGTTAACTTCCTAACATCCTTTTTGTAGGTAGGCCATATTATATATGAAAACAACATAAACTGAAATGATTTTTCCTGATTTTTTTTGCAATATTTTCATTTAGGAGTTCCTTGTACGCCACCCAAAATATCTGACACTGTTTGAAACTCACAATTCTTGCACTGTAATCCCCACCCACAGATGCTCAGTTTGAAACTCTGAATTTCAGAATTAACTGAAAAAACAGTTGAAAACTTACACTATCATCTACATCTCCAGTCTTCCACCCTTTTAACAGCATTTTAGATGCAGGAATCTGAAGTTCATTTTCTAGAATGTGTTTGATATCTCCTAAAAAGAAAACAAAAGAAAATATATAAAATATAAACACTTACTACTTTATTTCAAATAGTGCTGAGTTATAGTTAAATGAGAGCAAAGATGAATTTACTATGAAAACCATATTTAATCTAGTTACTGTTGTGACACACACTTCAAACAGTAAAGGACAAACGAAGCTAAAATAAATAAATAAATTTTAAAAATCACATAAAGCATGAATGATTGGAGAATCACATAAGGAGATGATGATTTGGACGTCTAATTGACTAGTTCTACACCGTGTATGCTAGACACACACATTTGCAGGGGCATGCTGTCTGGAGCAGTGGACCTTCTCAGCAATGAAGAGGGAGCATATTTTTGATACCCAATTCCATCATCAATAAAGCTAAAGAACTGGAGTGTTCATACAATTTAACTGGTCTGACAGTTTTTTCAACATTTTGTACATTTCGATGCTCTCCTTTTCCTGTAGTTACTACAGTCACAACATAACTCAGGCTGGAGGGTACTTCAGGAGCATATCTAGCCCAAGCTGAGCTCAAAGGTCTAATTAAACCAGTTTAGTCAAGGATTTGTTTAGCTGACTCACGAACGCCTCTAAGTTTGACAACTTCTCCGGCCTACCTGTTCCAGTACTTCACCACTTTCACAATTGAAAAAAACCCAAACGAGTAAATCCATGTATCTAATAGGAATTTTTGATGTTGCAAATTGTGTCCACTGCCTCTGATCTAATTATCATGCACCTCCAAGAAGAGTCTGGCTCCATCTTCGCTGTGTCCTCCCAGCAGACAGTTGCAGTCAGAGGTAAGGTCTCCACCTTTCCTCTTCTCTTCCTCAGGTTGAGCAAATGCAGTTCTCCGTGCCTCTCCTTCTGTGCTGCCATGTGCTCCAGTCCCCTGATGATCTTGCTGGCCTCATTGCAGAATGTCTCACAAGTGCTGAATAGAGGGGATTAATTATTTCCCTGGATACATCAGTTACACTCTTGCTATCAGTCCAGGATGTGGTTGACCACCTTCACTGTAGGGGTGTTCTGGTGATGCACTCCTAGATACCTTTTTTCACAAAGCTGCTTTCTAGCTTGTCAGCCCTCAGGCAGTTATCAGACAGGATAACACACAGTTACCCTCTCCCAGACGCCAAACTTCAACTTTGCTTTCTCTGGACTTCATTAAACTCCTGTCAGCCCATTTCTCCAGGCTGTCCAGGGCCCTCTAAACAGCAGCAGCCCTGTCCTCCAGAATATCAGCCACTTTCTCTGGGCTGGGATTCATTGTGAACTTGCCAAGAGCACTCACCTTAACAACCAGGTTTTCGATGAAGATGTTAAGCAACAATGGCCACAGGACCAATCTCTGAGGGACATCCCTAAACCAGTTACTGTTCACCAGCCAGACTTTGAGCCCAGCAGTCCAGGCAATTATCTACCTACATTATCAGTCCACTTTTCTTAACAATACAACTGTAAGAATACTAGAGCAGAGTATGTCAAAAGCCTTACTAAACTCAAAGTGACATCCACCATTCTCCCCTTGTTCACAGGGCCCGCCATCAAATCATAAAAGGCAAATAATGTTGGTTAGGCACAATTTGCCCTTAGCCCATCCATGCTGGCTCTTCCAAATCACCTTCTTTTCCTTCCTGTGCTCAAAAAGAGCTTTCAGAAATATTTTCATCATAGTCTTCCCACGGACCAGGTTCAGCAATCACCACTGAACAGTAGGCTCACATTTTCCTTAGCCCTTCTTTTCACACCGATGCAGAAGCCCTTCATGGTTTACAGAAGCCCTTCTAATCCCTCAGTGGTTTCAGATGCACTTGACCCAAGTCTTACTTAACTCCAAAACTGCACACTCTGGCAACAACTCTGTCTTCCCTCCTGGGTAGCCCCATCACTACCTTCCACCTTTTGTGTACTTTCTTTTTGCATTTATCTTAGTCATAAATTCTTTGTTCTTTTGTGCTGGTCTTCTGCCATGCTTGCTTCTCTTTCTGCATGTTGGAAGGGACTGTTCTTGTCCTTTGAAGAGGTTGTTCCTGAAGATCAACCAGCTCTCTTGGGCCCCTTTGCCCTCACAGAAGTCTCTCATGGGAACATGCCAAGCAGATCCCTGAAAAAGCCAAAAATCTTCTTTCCTGAAGTTCACAGTTGAAATTCTACTATTTGCCTTCTCTCAAAGGCTACTATTGTACTTCTCTAAACACAAGGCTGCCCTCAATCTTCATATACCAAGATACAGACAAAAGTTCTACACTGACTGCTTCTGCCCTACAGATTAATCGTTTATATATGAAAGTTGATAAGAAAAAAGCAAAATACTAAGGCTGCAAAATTCTGATTTGATCAGGCTTTTATATCTGCTTTGCACAGAGGCCACTCAGCGCAGTCCCTGTGGAACACAACACTAATCAGGAATTCAGACTAATCACCACTAGGTGGCACCAGCCAATACCAAATCGAATGCCAAAAAGACAAATAAGGATCGAAAGTTTCAGTTTCAAAATTTCATCACAGACATAAGGCTGCAGCACTGAAAACTGTTTTGATCAACTCCTCCTTCATGTAGTTCCTTATCTTGATCTGTATAGAATCTTCATTCAAAAGGAAAAATAAAAAAATAAAAAAATATTCTTCCTCAGCAGAAGTAAATTAACTCACAGTTTGGAGAATGCAAAAACTGACACACACTACTAACAATAGCATATTTCTAACGTACTGTTACAAAATGCATCAGTTTTAGGCTAAAGACAATAAAACTGATAAAAGAAATCTTAATTTGCATAAAAGAGTAAAATAAAACTCGAAAAAGAAGAATGCAATGATGCTCTTCACACTGGAAAAAATTCCTCTAAATCTTGTCACTAATCCTGCACAGAAGGAGATGCCACAGAGATTTGAAAAGGAAATGCCAAGATCATCCGCTTATTAGTAGATTGCATCTACATTAATTCTACCCCAAATTACATTTTCAGGCCTCAACTTAATCAGTAGTCTTCATTTTGTTTCTGAAGTTCATAAGAAAACTAGATTTCAAAATAAATATTTGATAGATCACTAACCTTTACAATGAATTAGTGAAATTTTGCTTTTTTTAAAGCTGCAAAGAGATTTGAAAATGGTTAGTAGCTGTCGAGGCTGCATTTTCTGGGGCGGTTTTGTGGGGTTTTTGGAGCGGTTTTGTTTTGCTCTGCTTTTTCTTTTAGGACTTGGACTGTTGGGGTTGGGTCTTTTTCGTTTGTTTTTGTTTGAACAATTTACCACAACGGTTTTCATTTCATTTTGGCAAATCCTTACCAACTGTGGAGCTGTCTTCAAGTACTACATCCACATTTCTGTCTCTGTACTCAACCCTGAAGTCAAGCATTCGAGGTTGCCTTTCCACTATTTGTCTTGATGGCACTACGTGGCGAAATGCTGAGGAGGAGGAAGGAGTTGAAGAAGCTGCTGTAGAATGACTTGCGGGGCCATACGCTGGTCCATGTAAAGTCTCTCCACCATACTCACTGAAAAAAATGCAGATAAGAAGGTTTAAACAGAACAGCTTGATATGTTTAAATAAAAGTTAGCAAAGCAAAATGAACAGTATTACTCACTTACTATGATTCACAGCACACACCTCTTGAATAAACTACACTGTCATATCTGAAAACACTGTTTTATTAATAATTAGAAAATAACTGTCATATCACTAATATTAGCATCTCAGTGACCCAGAAGTGCTATAGGAGAAAAGCTTAGCTGACAAGCATTTAAGCCATTACTTCAGTCTAAAGTTCACTATATAATTAATATCAGAATTATCTTGAGAAGAAGCATTATTTCCTGTTCCAGGAGTGCTGTGACCATATCAAAATTGGCACCATGGCAACAACCAGCTTTCTACATCACTGGGCTAGTATCAAATGGAAATGAAAATAAGAAATAAAGCTGAAAATACTGCACATGGATTGGTACTTTCCAATACCAAATGAATGGAAAACAAGTCAGGTATGAAAATAGTTATGTACTTAAGGTAAATAAATTAAGATAATGAGGTATATATTGCAAAAAATACCTAGAAGTACAACAGTAATGCAACGCTGAATTCTAGCTTGCCTTTAAGTTCAAAATCCTTAAAGCCTCCTGGACATTCATATAAGGATGTCTCCATACCTGGCTCAAGGATACATACAGCATTACAGGTCAGAATAAATTGGGAAACCCTCACTACCCATAAGCATTTCATCTTCCTCATTGAGCCTCTCCACAAGAAGCATGTAACTGGGATTAGAAATAAAGGTAACAAAACATGAAATTTAAGTAACATTACTCCAGGCCAATAAAAAAACTATGATATACAGAAATTAAATGTGGAAGGCAAGAAGCTTCACAAGGTAAGCCTAGAGCTTTACCTTGTAGATGTTCTGATCAGGAAGATTATCTGTCCTGGGCAGTTACAGGTTATTATGATGGAGGATGCAAGGTAATAAAAGATATGCACTGAAAGAATGGAAGCTGAGCAAAGATGGATTTAGGAAACACTGAGATGCAAGTTGTCTCATTTCCATCCTTAAACAGAACTTGTATGAAAAATGCATCCTGCCCTTCTTGAAGGTACCACAAGATCTCTCAAATGAAATGTTTCTTAGAGCAAGACAAATTTGTCATCCAGAGGAGGTCCGAACTTAAAAAAGCAAAGAAGTGGATGGCATGCACATCACAGAAGTGCAGAACTTATACACAGCTACTGCAAATCCCATCATCGAGCCTTCCGCATTTGAAAAAGAAAAACACGTTATGCTTGTAAAACAAGGGGCTCCTTCCCTTCTCACATCAGCAGGCTCAGAAGGATGAATTCCCAGCTATAAAGACCCAAAGACCCATGGTCAAAGGACAAAAACCCACTTCAGAAGTCTAAACAGCACAGGAAACAGTTTTCAGATTTCAAAAAGTATAAAAACCCGGTGATATGTTATTGTCTTAAATCTGATGGCAAGATATGAATTAAGTACCGTAACTATTTTGTTAACAGACCCAACAAGCAATGAATATCCTGATTCTCAGGGCTGGTTTTTGGGGTTTTTTTTAAACAACACAACTGATTTATAAAACAAAATGCATTTTTTTTCCCCCTTCGATAAATTAACTTACTTACCAGTTGTATTAGTTCTATTAGATTCTACCACAAAAGGAATCCTACATATCTGACTGGCAACCTCTAATGGAGCATAAAAAGCCTCACATCAGTAAAATAAGCCTCATTTGAAAACCACTAGAAACTAGGGCTTTTAAGTCTTCTGAGCCTCCTTTAATCCCACTTCCATTGGAAGAAAAAAAATAACATTTGAGACACGTTTGATTGTTTAATCATGTCTAAAAATGAATAAATTAATGTGGAAGAAAGCTGTAAGTGACACTGGACCAGCTTGTTATCCAAGCCAGGCATAACTACTCCCCAGCTCCTTCCCCACTGAGCAAACGGTTCAAAACATTCTGGTATTTCGAATATAAATGCTTTGAGGTCAGGACTTATTAACATAGGTAGAAAAAGTGCTCTTACACAACTGAGGCTTGATCTCCAATAGACTAGGTAGGCATTCCGGTAAATAAACACCTAGTAACTTTGCTGAGCAAATCAGGTTTTGCCCTAAATCAAAAACTGATTCTATTTAATGATACCTTAGTAAGTATTGACAGAGATGTCATAACAGCACTTTACCTACATTACGTATCCTTTTTCATCGTTAAAATAAACTTTTTAAAATAGTACCTTGAGTATTTTTCTTTAAAAAAAAAATTTAAACACTATTTTACTGTCCCTCTCAAGTAGCTCAATTCCTGTTCTGCTGTTTTCAATTGCCTCATCAGCACTTAGGAGCTCATGCTTCAGTGACTTCAAGATATCCAGGCATCAATATACAAGCCAAAATTTAATTCAGAAGCTGAAAGAAAATCAGTAAACCTACTTTTAGAAGGGAGCAACTTTACTTCATCTAGCACAGTATCCGCTGCCTCTAATTCAATTTGAAAAAAAAGCAACTACAAAAATGCAAACATTTTTGTCCAGGGTCAGAGAAGCATAGAATATCAATAGCTTTAAAAATGCATAAGGAAAAAGAAAATACTTAGCCAGGAACATCTGTGGATTTGCCTTGCAAATTTTTAGATCTTTGGAGGAAAAAAAAAACAACAAAGAACACCACACCCAAGCCCTGACATCCAAGAAAGGATACCAAAATCCAGGCTTTGTTAAGAGACAGCCCTGCACAGAATGACCCAACAACCAATGAATTTAGAATAAAAAATAATCAATTTGAATAGATGCTTGAGCAGGTCCTCCACCAGTATGGGAAAAACTGAACATTAAATCAGCTTTGCCAGAAATAGAATTTGTGGCTCCAGAAACTGCTTGAAAAGGAGAATTACGTCATCATCTTCGGATTCAGGAACAAAAATATAACTGTTATCCAGCATCACTCTCTGTGTGCACTACTTGTCTTCTCTACTTACCTTTGTAGAATGCCGTTTTCTTGTGGTATTACACCATTTATAGCTGCCTGAAAAGAGAAAACAAGTTTTGAGTCAAGCACAGAGAGCAAGAAAAAAAAGTTAGAAAATGTTTTAAAGAATTACTAGCTTGCTTTAAAATATGGCATAAAATGTTCTCCATTCATTGAACATTCTTGGTAAATGATATTGTCATTAAAGTACCTGCAAAAAATAAAATCCATATCTAAGTGAAAATGAATATGAACTTAAGCTCAAACTCCTGTAGGTGTGATGTTTCTCCCAGGTGGAATGCATGGGAATGAACCACATGGCCCATGCTCAGTCAATCTAACACTTTGTACACTTGGTATATACATAGAGTGAACATATTGCTTTCAAATACATGGATAACTGCGCACAGACAAGGCAGCCAGACAGCACGTACACAGAAAATCTGTTTCCCAGAAGTATCAGACCTGCACAAAGCTATAAACCTGCACAGCTTGCACATGCACCCCATGCTGCAACCCTGACACCATCAGGAATTGCTGAAGTTGGAGCAAAGGGCTTCTCAGCAGCTCACGTGTCTCCATCGCACCTACACCATCCAGACAACCCTCTTCCAGCTCACATGAACCAACACCATCTACCCTCTTCAGAGTCCTCACGTGCCAAGGCATCACAGAAACGGCTACCCCCAAAATTCAAACAATCTTCAGGTAGAAAAGGAAATACTTTTTCTAAGTAAGGTTTACGCTGTTAAATGTCATCCCATGTTGTCCCCATCATCCGAATAAACCAAGTACACGTGTCTAAGTACAAACCTTACAAGCTGCACTCAGATTTCATAGAATCATAGAACAATATGGATTGGAAAGGACCTTAAAGGTCATTGAGTTCCAACCCCCCTGCCCTGGGCACCTCCCACAACACCAGGTTGCTCCAAGCCTCATCCAGCCTGGTCTTGAACACCTCCAGGGATGGGGCATCTACAAATTCTGTGGGGCAACCTGTTCCAGTGCCTCACCACCCTCAGAGTGGTCTTGTTTGAAATTAAAGAGTTACTACCTCTAAAAATATCCCAATGAATTCTCTCTCATATTAAAATGCATTCTTTTTAAAATAGCCATCACACACCCCAGTAGTAAGTTCAAAACCCCACTGCTGGCAAAATTCTCTTCTCAGCCTGTTACAGTATTGCTCCACTTTATGTTGCAGGAAGTTTTAATGCCATTCCAGCACATCTGATGCTACAGAAGTTTGTATAAACTTTGAAATTATACGTCAGTCAGTCTGAGGGAAAAACTTGGCAAGCAAATAAGACTCTCTTCAGCAGTATTTAGAAGACAACTTGTTTCAGGCTGCTTTATGCCATCAAAAAAGTATTTTAAAATCATCTCATTGCTAGGATTTTTCATATTTGGGGGGCAGAGAAAGTGATACCACATGAGCTGGTGGACATGACGTACACACTTTGATATGCAGCCGATAAGACTTTGTTCTGATTATTGTCAGAAGCCATGGGAGTAAAGATGTCAGAGCCTACCCAACTTCAGACTTTTAATCCTAGCCCAGGAGTGGGTAGATAAGACGGAATAGCACAAGAGGGAATTTAACAAGGAATCAGGAAGAAGTAAAAAAAATCTGGAGAGGAAAAAGACCTCAAAAGTCTAATTCTATTTCTGGTCTTTGATGATATTTATGATTACTATTGTGTTCACGGGTAGATATTTGTTAGGCTTAACAGTAAGATTCAAGAGAGCTTGTAGCATCCCATATTTCTCCATTTTCTGCCGTTATCAGTGGGGATTCATGCATTTCTACTATCACAACTTCCAATATCCATTCTCATGTCAGATATACCTGACCCGTTGGCCAGTATACTCGGTGAATTAGTGCCTGGTCCCTGATGAAGAAGAGAATGCTGACATTTAGGAGCTCATAGGTTCCCTGTACTCCAGGAGGATGAAGTCTAACACTGCAACTGAACTATGGACAGTCATCATCTACCAACATAATTTTTACAAATTGACACAGAAAATGCACCTTAAGTCTTCAATAAACACAAATCTCAATATTGTCTAGTTTAAATGCTATGCTTTCTTTTTCTATGAATATATAAGCATGATTTTTTACAATTTCCATTAACAGTTAAGGCTACATAAAGTCAAAGTGTATTTCTGCTGAACTCAGCTAACTAGCTATGATATTGCAATAGGATTTATCATCTATTTAGAGACAAATATTACATAAATAATAGTAAAAAAAGCAGACAAGGAAAAGGGTCACAGGTATCTATAAGCTGCAGCAGCTACCCATCAGGCTGTATCAAATTACAGCAAAAGCAAAGCTTCTTACCAGATCAGTTTTCAAATCAGTTTATCCACCGTGCATAGCAATAATCAGTGGTTTCTTTCTAACAACATGTCTCATTTATCATCATTGTGGTTTTTGCAGTCACACATAGCTCTTGGTCATGTTCATCTAACCAACCTCCAGGAAAAAGTGGGAGGTTTGGTTTTGCTTGGGTTTTTCTGGATTGGCTTCCCCCACACCTACTCTTCAGCAACATACATTTCATTCCTGTCAACCAGCAGGTAAGGTTGGTTGACAGACAAAAAATATCCTTTATTTTGCATCCGTAAGATATAGAGAGCAAATGCAAATTCTTGTACAAGAAGACCAACACTAATAAAGATCTGCTGGTGCAACAGAATTCTCTTTTTCTCTCTGAGAAAAAGAAGCTGCTTCAGCTGTGAAGAAATACAGCACAGCATGGCATTTCCACACTTCTTCTGTCAAAGCTCATGTCTCAGTCTCAGAGGATTAAATCAGCTCAAACTTTTTCTAAGCCTAGTTAGAGGGGTTAAATATGATGGAAGCTCCAAGCTATTTTCTTTAAAACTGAATAACTCACTTGTTCACGTCCCCAGTTTTGTAAACTTGGTGACATTTAAGGGGCATAGCAGTAAGAAAAAACAGCAGCAGCATTATGTACTTTTTTGATGGAAAGACCTCTATTAACCACACTGTAAAAATAAAGAGTCTGGACACTGTTTGTTAAGCAAGATGGAAGACTAAAATTATGTAGACGGCAAATGGTAGCAGTGCACATGTAGATATTGCATAAATATTAAATACCCATGTTCTTACAAGACATCTATAAGTAGACTCTGCAAAGAAAGTAAGAAAAAGGAACAACCATCTGCTTTAGAATTTCATAGGAGGAAGGCTGTGACTATTAAAAAAAAAAAAAAAAGAACAAGTTATTAAGGCAAGATCTGTTCCAGGCTGTTCTTCCCCAGTGTCAGTCCCCTTTGAGAAAGGATCAGGTCTCTGTGCTTAAGTAAACATTCAAAGATATTAAATTTTTTTGTCTTTCTGAACAGGGATCATTTGATCATCAAAAACAGCCTGAGTGACTAATATACAGTAATTAAAAAGATGTATTACCCTTGAAACAACTTTAATAACAGGTGCAGTAAATCTATTCAAGGATTATTAAATCTATAGATACCATGCCTGGCTAAGAACATTTCCTCAGCTCCCAATAACCTGCTGCCAAGAGTGATGCCAGGGAAGCAGCACTCTGTGCTCACGCTGTTCTCACACTGTACATCCACTGCAGATCCTGGGTACCACAGCTTCAACAGGTACTTACCTATTCTAATGCTACCACTATTTAAAGAGTGAAACTCACTTTAAATAGAAAATGATAGGTAATTTACATTTTTTTTTCCCCTAAGCCAAGAATCTTGGGGGTGTCTCAGTGCTACCCATATACCCAAGTACCCTATGGCCCCATCATGCACCAGCAGAGGATTTATCAACAAACATCACCGAGAATCCTGTTCATTTAAAGCAATATAAGACAGGAATATAATGTAATACTGCACCAATGAGTGCCAATTAAAAAGGTTCAAACTAACAATACTTTTTTTTAGTGTTTGTTTCAGCTGCAAGCTTCCAGAATCACAATACATTAAATCCAACTTTTTTTTGCTGTTTCCCACAAACATAGGTAACAATAAAGCAATAGGGTTAATAAAAGGTTACCAAATTCATTAATAGTTTGGGCAAACCAGAAACTCTGTAGTATTCTACAAACAGATTGAAATTATTTAAGTGCCTGAAGAACATTGTGAAGCAGACTGTGAAATTTAGAGCTCTCCCTCAAGGGAATATTAACTTAAATAGATTAGTCAGTTCTGACTAAATGTGACTATCTTTTATGAGTACAAAACAGTGTGAGAGAGAAAAACAAGAACCACCGTTTCTCAATAACCTGATGAAGCAACAATGTTGATGACTTCGCTCAAAACACACAATTATACTACTGGCTATTTAAAAGCAATTAAGCAGATATTACAGTGACCCTCACCCAGGGGAATGAGCGTCCTATGAATAATCATGAACTAACTGTGGTATTTTAGGTAGCACAAACATTAAACTCCTGAGTTTAAAATACTCAGTGGTTATCAATAAGTTTGAAGAGGGACTGGATTTGCCAATCATATTATTTAAAAGCAGAGTTCTACACATACTGATTGTATAAAATAAGGTGGGAAATTCCTTCCTTTTCATGAACAAAAGATGGGTGGTATCTTTTAAATTTCCAGAATGTAAAAGTGATGTTTAAATGAATTATCTTAAGAGCTAAAAGCAGGACCAGGCAAAAGTGCTGTGAAAGGCTTTTGCAATGAGTGAGGTGGGAGAAGATCTTCCTCCAGGGCCACCACTTGTTCCCTCTTCTTTCCAGTCTCCATACTAGACAATAGTTTTGGCTGACAGATACAGATCCTGCCCTAGATATAGATCCTTTAAAACAGACAGGGACCTGTTGAAGAAAGTCCAGAAGAGGGCCATGAAGATGATCAGAGGCTGGAGCACCTCTGCTATGAAAACAAGCTGAGAAAGTTGGGGCACCTCAGCCTGGAGAAGAGAAGGCTGCAGGGAGACCGTAGAGCAGCCTTTCAGTACCTAAAGGGGGCTACAGAAAGACTCTTGATCAGGGAGTGGAGCAATAGGACAAGGGGGAACAGTTTTAAACGGAAAGAGGGTAGATCTA